ACCATATTTTTGTTCTTAAAAGATATATTTACAGAAGAGTATTTACTTGCAGAAAAAAGGCAGTAGCACTTAATTAACATTAAACCAGGCAATTCTTTTCCTTTTTCTACTCTATTATTAGCAGCAAAAATTTCACCAACTATTAATTTTTGAATTGGAAAAGGAAACTTGTAGATTTCCTTTAGGGTATCGTCAGCAATATCAGGAGCAGAAATTTTTTTCACACAAAATTCAAATGCAATATAATTTAAGTTCGAACGCTTTTTCAAGTCAAGTACAACGATCTTATCATATGCTCCAATTAAACTATAATGAGGAGCGAGTGTTCTCTTTAACTTACTATGATATGATTCTAAAGTGTTTGTCGATGTTACTTGCAAAAGTAGTAGAGAATATTAGTGGGCCCAAAGTACTCACTAGTGAGAAGTTTTCAAATAATACCTTTTGATATATTTTTTAATAGCGGAGAGAGTATATTCATTAATCGATTTTTTGATAAACAATTCATAACCAATTTTTGTTCATTTATGCATAGCCTGAATCATCTTATTTTGAGTTTTTATTTCATAGATTTTATTCATCCAGGTCTGCATAATATGTATGGTGCAAAAAATAATTTCACATTTCTGTTCATCTTTTTCAAGACCTGGAAAAGTTACTATAATACTTTTAGCTTCTATACTACTTTGGTCTAATAGAAAGTACTGAGGTTTCTAAGAGCTACTAAATCACTGCATTATTATCAATGCCTCTGTAATGGTGTTACTATTTTCATTACTAATGAAAAAATACTCACTGATATCCCAATAACTATATCCATTCTGAATATACAGTGTAAACAAAAGCTATTTATATTTATTTATTTTATGCTTGGAGTCTATTAGCATTAACTATTCATACTTTTGAAGCTTTTCAAGTTATTTCAGATATGCAAAAACAAAGCTACAGGTAGATTGGTGATGAATTCTATACAATTCAATTTGATAGCCCTCTTTATCTAAAAAAGAAGTTGCATTCTGAATATCCTGTGCTAGTTTAGGAGCACTAGTTAAATAGGTATTTTGAGGACTACAGATCTTATATTTTATATTGGCAACTTCTCTCTACTTCAATTCATTTATGCTCATACTGAGATCTAGTTTTTTATTTGCATACTCTTTAACTACACTAACTATTGCAGATACAAAATAATTTTTAACTGCTTCCTTTTCTACTAAAATTTGAACATCTTAGGAGTGTTTTAATTTTTCACTATCTTTTAGTTCATGTGTATAATCAAAGGAGTTTTGAAAACATTTAACAAGCATTTTCTGAGTAGTAAAAACTTTGATACTTTTATTTTTGTGAAATATAAGCCTGCCTCTCGAACCTTCGTTTTTTGCTATTTCTCACTTGAAACATCCTCTTTGCATATGTTTGATTTCAAATGTTTATTAAAGCAGCATACAAAGGTTTTCTAATAATTTCTGTTTTTAGAACTAAATTTTACTCAAATGTTTGTGACTAAAGGCCACCATTCCATATCAAATTTGTTCATCAGCACTTCGAACAGTTGTTGAATATTAAAAAGTAAAATATGTTTTTAGTTAGACATAAAACTTGAATTTATTACAACGATATCCATTAGTTCAAGACATAGTTGTAGAAAACTATATGTTTGCTGCAAGAGGTCTTGTGTGAAGTTTGTATTTTCATTTTCTTAACTGGAAGTACTCATTACCTTTTTTTTTTTTTTGTAAAATTACTTTGGCAGAATGTTTTATTCGTTATTATAATTTTTTTTTGTAAATTTATTTTGTGTTGTTCGTTATTATAATTTTTTTTTTTTTTTGTAAATTTACTTTGCATGATTGAAGTTTTTTTGCTAGCAAACTTCTATTATTAACACTTTTTTTCTTTTTTTTTTTTTTGGTAAGAAAGATTGCAGAACACTGTACCTGTTTTCTTGTACAAAAAAGAAAAGTTTCACGCTGATATGCCTTATATATGAAATTTGCCCCAGATTTTGGCAAAAAAATTTCTTGAATTTGATTGGTCATTGTATCGAATAATAATAGCTCTGACTTCCGGATAGACAGGCCGACGATCACCGGATCACGTGATGGCACCCTGCTTTAACGGTTTCCCTTTTTTAGATCAGAGTACAACCGGAGTGCACTTTCCAAAATAGGAAATCAAAATAAACCAAAATAAGAACTTCATTGGTTTAAATTCAAGATAATCACAAA